GCAAGCTTTCCGGATGACTTGGATCCTTGAAGCAACCCGTCTGTGTGAGAAGGCTGCAATGGAAGAAGCCTTCCTTCACCTTGTGCTTCTTCTAGTACTACACAAGCTGAGCCTTCTCAACAAAACATTGCTCTGGCACTTGCATACAACTTGTGATGTAATGTAGATGTAAACCCCAACTGAATGATATTTAGCAGATTCAGAATCAACTCCATTTAATAAAAACTACACACAACTATACAAATTGTTTTCATCCTTTGCTACATCTCAGTGATGCTGATCTCTTGCAACCTCCTGCAGCAACTTCCTGTCTACATGCACACCACAATGGCAGCATGGCATGTCTCATACGGGTTTCCTGATGGTGACAACGGTGGACCATACCTGGGTAATGTGTGTTGAACTAGCCATTTGTACTCTGAAGCCTGTGTGACAGGGTGACAACACAGAAATACAATTGGGAGATGGGGCAGAGCATTGTCACCCTATATTTGAAAGTGCCTACAGGAGATGGATCATGCCTTCATGGTAATATCCCCGGGTATTATGTTAAAAAACAGATGTAAAAAATATTGAAAATTACTTTTAAAAATCACATTACCGTAGTATATTTAAATGAGATTTTGGGGATTTACATATATTTTAAACCCCATCTCCAGGCAAGCCAAAAAACTACCCTTGCACTGCAGAGGGGTTGCGCTCACACTGCAAGTATTAAGTGCTCATTTTTGTCTAGAGGCTAGACTAAAGCACTGTGCCAAACCGGTCCCCATAGCCTCTTATCCCCTTTGCCCCGGCGATCTAAGGGCTGCCGACATCATCATGTCTAATGCAGGTTCCATAGACATGTATTAGATGTAAGGACACCGAGTGGCATTCCACCAGCCAGAGTTGGGGGGGTTAAGGGGACAGTGCTAGCCGCTGGGGGAGTGGGGATCAGATAATTAAAATCTGCTTTACTCCTATCCCCTAGACATAAATGAGCACCTAACTCTTGCCGTGCAGGGGTAACCCCACTGCGAGGACACTTTTTTGGTTTGCACAGAAACTACTTTTAAGGGCATTCTTACCCAGGTATTTTGCTTTGTGATGAGTCCCTTTGATTACGCTTGCACATACGGGTTATTTCCCATTTTACATCTCCTTATGTAATGAACTATTGATTTATATTTTATCTCTAATGGTTTTGTCACATACCAAATCAGCACCGCACCTTGGCTCCTTATACCGAAACGCAGGATCAGCAGGCAATGGGGCATTATCTGCCCATGATGAACTGTCAGCAGAGCTCCATTGCATAATCCCGCGTTGTGTAAATCTTGACTAGTGCTTTGTCACAAGCTGTCACACGGGGTTTTCCATAAAACACAGCCCCACCTACTGTCCCCACTTTGTCATAATGCTGATCCCACATTCACAGGCTTATATGGTTATCTCACCCGTATGCAGGGGCGCCACCAGGCCGGGTGTCATACAGAGCATATGTCAATGAGTTACAGGTGATGTCATTATGCACGCGCGTAATAACATCATGTGCACTTCACTGCCGGTGGCCATCTTGGTGATGGATGCCGGCAAAGAGAGGAGGGGACGTTCATCCGGTGGGATAAGATATGCCGCCAGGTCCCCTCCTCTCTCGTGCAGCTGTTGGGCTCGCGGTCCATGACCGAGTGCCTGATTTTTCAGAGGGTGTGACACGAAAATTACATTAGTCATTTTGGTGTCATCCACTCTGATGGTGTCATCCAGTGCGGGTAGCACCCCCTAGTGACACCGCGCGTATGTGATATTTGAGATATTGGTGGAACCTGATGGGCTTAGTCAGGCCCTCCATAGAGATCTCCCTCCCATCATTTCCAGATCTGTCCCTTCCTCTGGAAGTTTTCAGAGTTCCACCCACCTTTAAGTTTTCCAAATTCTTCCATTGCATTCAGTACAGTCATCACATTTTTTCTTACTGTGCCAAATTTCCACATTTCTTTAAAGCCCAAATGAGCAGTTTAAATCAGCTAAATTTCTTGCAGGTGTATCAAAACTAAAGGCGTGCAAAGTCTCACAATTTACCTTTTGCTACATGTGCTCCAGGATGGAGGCTCTCATAGATTAGAGTTAGGACCGCACTACACAGAGGGGCCTTGAGGAGGTAGTGTGGCTTCCACATTTCTGAGCAGCCCAGAGATAACACATCCTGTTTAGCGTGCATGGAAGAATCTATTATATATATATATTTTTTTTTTAGTTCAACCTGCAAAATGAATGCAAAAAGTATAACTGTGTATACCCAGCTTAACACAGATCAGCCCCCGCTACGGCCTTTCACATTGTGACTTGCTGCAAAGTTACAATGTTGCAGTATGATCACTGAGGGATAGGAGACTGAGGAAAGACCTCCTCCTGGCTGCAGAACATGATGACATTATCTGAGGCTAGGTTCACACCTAGGCGACTCCTGACTGCGCGGCAATCCGTGCAGTTTTGTGCACTATTGCCACGTGGTAAGGAGTCGCCAAGGTGAGAACCGATCGCGCTGTGGGTGCCATTATTTTCTAATGCTACCCCAGTCGCGCCGGGCAGATTGCGCGGTTTCCCACCGCGATTTCACCCATGCAAATGACCACTAAAAAAAGCTGTGCATCGTGTGACGCAAAAAAAGCCACTTGTACCTGTGCCGCGCGGATGACACCCCATCGAAATCAATGGGGTCGAGCGGCAATCGCTATGTGCACTTGCCGTGGCCCTGGGGCGCACGTCCCGGCTGTCATGCGGTGTAGTGCAGGTGTGAACCTAGCCTGAGTCCAGGCAAAGTCACTGACTTTTTGAATGAAAAAGTGATACTTTTCTGTAAAATGATACTGTTGCTGTATATTGTGACATGTCAGGAGTTTATTGATACAGAGTTGTAAAGTTGCTGAATAGTTACCTTACCTCCATGAGGTCTCTGACCCCGTGCTGATTATGATAAACAGATTATGTGGATTGGAGCAACATTCACCATATTTATTCCCAGAGAATTTTTGTACAAGTCATTCTGAATTGAGAAAGCTGGTCGGATGACCAGTGAAACGTCTTCAAGGAAAAATACAGCAAGTCCAGTTGCCTTGACTTATTTTTTAGATGTATATAATGAGGTCTGTTGTTTTCTTATACAAATGCCACAGTCTCTTGCACCCAGGTTCAGACAACGGCACTGGTTAAAGTGGAAATGATGTAATTAAAAAAAATTTACGTTTATGATCTGTTATTAACATAAGTCTTGTTTTTTAAGCAAAAAAAAAAAAAAAATGTGGGTCCCTCCTCAGTGGCGGCACAAGGGGGGGCACCTGGGTAACACCATTGGAGGGGTGACACCAAAATGACTAACAGTCCTTTTGGTGTCACCCCCTCTAAAAAGTCGGGCACTCGGTCATGGACTGAGAGCCCAACAGTGTCAGGAGAGAGGAGGGGACCCGGCGGCATAACTCATCCTGCCGGGTGAACGTCCCCTCCTTTCTCTGCCGGTGTCCATAACTAAGATGGCCGCCGGCAGGTGTCAATCAGATGCGCTCACGCGATCACGACACGTCAGGGTGTCACCCGGCCTTGGGACACCCCTGTCCCTCCTTAATATGTAAACCCTTAATCTATTTGTCAGTATTTCTGGCACTCTGCTTACTTGATACAGTTTCTTCAGCAAATAATTTTTGTGAACCGATTGCAAAGTTTCTTACCTGGAGACCCTGCCAGTAACAGCATTTCCTGCTTCAGCATCCCATGCAGGGTCCTTTCCGTTGGCTTATGGGATGTTATAGATCTGATAGGCAGCGCAATGGCCAACTAAAATAGCGCACATAGCAGGGTGACAATGCTGCTGATAGTTGTGCAGCAGTGACTTAGCGTTGTCAGCCATGGAGATCAGCTTGTATTTAGGTTCATTTACTGCTGATTAAGAATATGTAAATACTTGTCCACAGCCCTGCCACAAGTTCACGTGAAATAAATAAATCAATTGCATAAAGGAACATACAGTAAATCTATTATAATGAGAGATGGGATAACATTGTATAGATATTGTTTTATTATTTCATGTTTCTTAATGCAGTTTCTACAACATTTAACTATAATTGCAAGTAAAACCTTACTACAAAAAATAAATAATTTAAAAGGAATCTAGGTTAGCCTCAGATGAAAGCTCCCATGAAACTCCTACCCTGCGTTTCAAGACAGTGACGCATCTGTTTAGCATTACGCTGGGGTCAGTTCCAAGGAGCTAGAATGCAGCTGAAAAATTTGACATTGGAGGATTCTATCTTAAAGGAGAACTATGGGGTCAGGGCTTTTCCCCATAGTTCTCCTTAGGGTAACGGGAGGACACAAACTAGCATCCTCCCGTCACCCTAGGCTCAGTATACCGCGAGCTGTAGCTCGCGGTATACTGAGACGCCGCAGCTGAAGCGGATCCCGACAATTATGTCTGGATCCGCTCAGCTGCGTGACTGACAGCTGGCTCTGCCTATCTAGAAGAAGAGTCAGCTGTACCCGCCCCCTCCCCCATCCGTTCCGCCAGTCAGCGCTGGCGGATCGGAGCGGGGAGGGGGAATCCAGCCCCTCCCCTGTCATGGCAGAGAGCCGTGACAGGATCGAGAGGTGAGCGAACGCCGGTATGTGTTCGCTCACCTCCGGATCTACTGAGCCGACCTGTGACAGTCTCATTGTCACAGGTCGGCTGGAACTATGAGGTGAGTGAAAAGCACTCACCTCATAGTTCTCCTTTAAGCTAATCACATAAGTATTTGACTAATAACAGGTTAACTTTAACAATCGGAAAAAAATAAAAAAAATAAAAACAGTGTGAAAATGTGTCTGGGGCATATTGACCCCATAACTGCATGGAGGAAATTGTTGCGTACTGCTTTAGTAGTTGGAAAGCTACATTAATGGGTTTGGCGCCATTGTTTAAGGTACAGTAATGGGCTCCATCAACAGTCCTCCTTCTGTATAGCAATGACCAATAGCACACCATCTGAAAATCTCTTAACGACATAACCCAAAAATTGTCAGAAGTAGCACGAAGAGGTTGACAATGTCCACGTAAATGTTGAGGGTGGCAAAGATGTAATCCTCTGGGCTCACTGTGTAACGATGTTTCCCTCCAAGAATTAACTGAGTATCAAAAACCAGGTACTGAAAAGAAACCAAAAAAATCATGTTGTCAAATGTATGCAGATGTATAGAAGATGCTGTGGTTAATGAAAAGGTCTTTTTGGTCAAATAAATCTCTTAGGCTGGGTTCACACCTGAGCGTATTTTTTCAGCTCGTTTTTTACGCGTTTTTTAGCACGTTTTTCCGTTCAGTGAAATGCGCGTTTCACTGGCAGTATGATTTTTTTCCCCTTTATTTTCTCTATTTAAAAAAAAAAAATTAGCTTTCAAACTTCCCGCCGGCTCCGCCCCCCTGCAGCGCGGCAGCGCGCAAGGGATGGAACCCAGGAAGTTGGCAGCCGCCGGAGGACACAGCGGGGATCGCGGACAAGGTAAGACTTGTACGCTGTATTCCCGAGTGTGGCTCAGGGTTACCGCTTTGTTACCGCTCCCGATCCACACTCGGGAATAACAATGGAAACGCGCGGAAAAAAGCCCCAAAGAAGCTCCTGTACTACTTTGGGCGTAGGGCGTTTTTCAGCGCGTACCTACGCGCTGTAAAACGCCCAGGTGGGAACCATGCCCATAGGCAATTATTGGTTTTCACATGTTTAGCGTTTTACAGCGCGTAGAACGCGCTGTAAAACGCCCAGGTGTGAACCAGGCCTTACATCTATGTACAGCTTTTGATGCTATAACCTGAGCATATAATATAAAGTGGTCCTTAGGGTGTCATTCGTTTTAAGGTGTATCTAAAGCCCACATTTTTTAGTTCTATTTTGCTTTCTGTGTCCTCGCTGTGGAAATTCAGCCTCTCTATTTGACCAGGTTTTCCCAAATCTGTCCTAATAGTAACCTTTTGTGTCATCCTCTATATAAAAGGGCTTAGAATGGGAGAGGGGGGGGAAGAACTAGGAGCCAATCAGGAACTTCTGTATGCACATGACAGGGAGCAGGCAGATAAGAGCAGAATGTAATAAATGATCAGTTTGTTGGAGAACCTTCCACTCAGCAGGCTATGCGCAGGGGGTGACACAGATGTATTCCTTAACTGTAAAAGAGAGAGTGCGGTCACCCTCCTGGTTGTGCATTTTGGTAGTGGTTTATGAATCACTTAAGTGGCTGAACATAATTACAAATCATTTGTCAGGCCAGGCAGTCCCCAGATGTGCATTTTGGAAGGGTTTTAGCTGTTTGCCTGAACTTCTTTAACGCTTTCACTGATAAGGCTAAGAAAGGTGACGCTGTCAGAATTTTATAGCCTATTGTTCCAGATGTGCACCAATGCCTCTTGCGCTTATTTTTTCAAACATTTTCATCCTGTAACAGTTTGATGCATAAGCTCCGTTGTAGAAAAATCACACTTACCATGCCAAATATAAGCGTCCCAATGCATGCATAGAGAATACTCAGCCACTGGAAGAAGAGGAACAAAGGCCACAAATTTAGACAAATACATCAATACTCAAGTGACAACAAAAACGTGCAAACTGATTAAAATAAGTTCCATGTGGATCCGCCTTATTCATATTGCGGGGAAATATCACCGCCAATCCGCCTTATATAAAACAATTGTAAATTAACCCTTCTGTCCTTCCTCTACTGTGAAGTGAACATTTAGCTCTATGCAATACGACTTTAACAATCTTATAGTTTACTCTAAACTAGGGGTGCGGAAATTAACGATTAATCCGTCGATTAATCGTTAATTTCTTTGATCGATCAAAATTATTTTGATCGATCAAAGTACTCACCTCTCCGCCGGCTTCCGTCGGAGATCCGGTGACGTCACGGACATCGACGTCACCGGACTCCTCCCCCCCTCCCCGAGTGGCTCTGTCGGCTAACGAAGGGAAGGGGGGAGGAGTCGGGTGATGTATTTGTCCGTGATGGGTAACGAAGGGAAGGAGGAAGGAGTCCGTTGACGTCGATGTCCGTGACGTCACCGGACTCCTCCCCCTTCCCTTCGTTACCTCAGCTGCGAGGACCCAGCATCAGCCACCTGATACAGAGACCTGCTTCGATGTTCTCTGCCGCTGTCCCCCCACGCTGGTATGTTTTTTTGCAGCACCCTGCTCAAGCTATAGAACATGGAATAGAATATGGCTGAAACTGACTATATTCTATTCCATGTTCTATAATGTCATTGTACTACTAGGAAACTACAAGTCGGCAGTTCAGCTGCGACTTGTAGTTCCCTGTATGATAGAAGATAAACACTTAAATCAGGACCACCGATATATGGCCATCCTGGAGAGGAGGATCATTGATCAGGCAGAGCTGCTGATTGGCCAGCTGGGCCTGAAAGTCACTCTCCCCAAGCTTCTTGAGACTCAGTGATCAATCTCATAGCATTACTCATGTCACTTGGTGCCTGGTAAGCATTGTAACATCTTCATCCAGTTATTCATGGAACTTGGATCGGGTTTAGTAAAAGGACAAAAGATGGAGGTGTAACAAGAGGTCCGCTTTACTGCTGTAAGATTTATCCACCATCTGATATATTTTGTGTATAGTACTAAAAATGGTCTGAAAGGGAAAATGAGTTAATGTAAAGTTGAGTATGGATTCATGACATTACTTACATATGTTCTGAAAATGGCAGCCAGCATCCCAAAAGAGAATAACACCATCAGAGCAACCATCAGACCTCCGGACAAGATGGTAAAATCCCACTAGAGGAAAAAGTGTATGCCATCAGCTCTTGACATACAGGTAACACATACAGGGAGTAATCAAAATTGTTTTACAGGTGGGGGTAACAAATGAACTACACAAAACCAATGGGCCAGGGGTCAGAACTCCTGACAATGTTTTTATGGCTGTCTGTGCCTTCGTTCCAGGACAACCACACACCCCATTGTTTTCTACAGACATCACAGGGACAGGAAGTAACTTTTCCCCATTGTATCCAACACAAAGAAATGCCTGGAGTTCGGATTTAAAGGCATGGATTTTATGATTGGCTTCTCCCATGAAGATGTGAGATAATGGACTATATTATACAGCGTATAACATGGTAGATAACTATATAAATATATATATATTTATTACCTTTGTCTGTAGCGCAAACAAGGTGAGACCCAGAGATACAACTATGGTTGCTCCTGTAGCCCACATCACAGCATCAGCATCAAAAAACCTGAAAACAAAAGTGCACAAATCAAGAAACAAATACTGCTCAGTCTTCACTGACAAGGCCTATAATGGAAGTAGAGGATGGATGAAGGATCTGCGTTTAATTTATAGCTTGCAGTCAAGTATGTTGTACCTCCTGTTGGGGAGTGAATGAAATAATCGGGCAATCAAAATGGGAAAACATGAGGAGAGATGTTGTCAGTTGCAATGCAGATGCAGCTGGTCCAAGAGACTTTGGCACGGATGGGACACAGGTCAATGGCTGCCTATTCTTTAGCGTACACCTGTCATCAAAAAAATACAAAACTCTCCTCCTTGGATGCTAGTTGTTTGACTAATTGAATGGCTTCAATAAGTTAGTGAATGGCCTAGAATAGCTATTGAGATAAGCAATGTTGAGTTTTTCCCTCTTTTTTTGCTGCATGCTTGTGGCATGTTAGACATTCTAAGACTATTCTAACCAAGCACAGCCAGGCAGCTAGAATTTACAATAGGAGATCAGCTGTGTCAGTCCACAATTCTTTCAAATGGCAGGGACAGTGCTGAAGGCAATGGTGGGATTTGGTAGGTATAAACATTGGTCATTGTCTGGGCTGCAAAAATCTTGCTTGTTGCTACCTCAAAGCTGCCTAGTGGTGGACATTACCGGGATCAAGTCGGGGTGAGTTTTCCCTGTAAACAGGCAGACAGGGCAAATGAGTTGGCAAAACCCTAGAAGGATGATAGGCAGCTAAGTGAATTGTGTTTGATAATGATCCTGTTGACAAAAAGTAAAAACTGCTTTTAAACAAAAATATGATCTAAATGAGGACCTTAAATACACAGTAGAGGACATCTGTGAGCATTGAACCGAAGGACATGTCTTTCTTCAAGTAAAAGGCCCACTATGAGTAAATTACATTTTTTTTAGCAGTTTTATGTAAGTGAACGAATATATAACAGCTCCAGGAGATTATCAGGAGATATTAAAAATAACAATGCTCTCATGCTGTTTATAAAAGACCCTGGAACAGGCAAGCAAAGGATATTCACTACGTGCCAGATTAAAGGGATATACAAATATTTTTGCCATCACAGCTAAAACAATTAAAGATATGGAAAAACTTACGCTGCGAGAGTTCCCAGGAGACCTCCTTCTAATATTGTCTGAAACAGAAACACATAGGAAGCACAGGAAGGTTACATTTTTCTGGGGTTGTGTTGGAATAAAATGTACTAAAGTCTCACGGAAGGCTGTTGCCCCTCGTACAAGGATACTGATAGCTAAAGCTTGTAAACGCAACACTGGCAAACCAATATTTCTGCAATCATGAGGTACACAACCATATTTACTATGATATAGTACTCTCTAAATCTAATAATCTTATCTTTCATTCTTAATCCTTTCAAGATTTGTTTTGTAAGTGTTTACTATCTATCTATTTATCTATTCTGTCAATCTCTACACTGGCTTCCAATAGCCCAAAGGATAAAATTCAAAATATTAACAACCACTTACAAAACCATCCACAACTCTGTCCCCGGCTATATCTCAAACCTCGTCTCAAAGTATCACCCTAACCGCCCCCTCCGCTCTTCAAAAGACCTCCTGCTTTCCAGCTACCTCTTCAACTCCTCCCATGCTTGCCTCCAGGACTTCACTAGAGTCTCTCCCATCCTATAGAACTCTCTACCCCAACCTGTCCGACTATCTCCCACTCTGACTGCCTTTAGGTGATCCCTTAAGACTCATCTCTTCAGGAAAGCCTATCCCACCTCAACCTAACCACTCAACCATCACATTCTCAGACAATTCATCCTCACACAGCTACCTCCTCATGTATCACTTGCCCCTCCTTTTTAGATTGTAAGCTCTCAGGAACAGGGCCCTACTTACCATCTTGTCTTGAATTGTATTGTAATGTCTTCTTTATATTGTAAAGTGCTGCGCAAACTGCTGGCGCTATATAAATCCTGTATAATAATAATAATTATCTATCATTATTATTATTATTATTATTATCATACAGGCTTTCTATAGTGCCAACAGTTTGTGCAGTGCTCTACAATATAAAGGGAGACTGTACAGTTACTATATATTTCAAGGCTAGGAGCGAGTTTACTATCTATCTATCTATCTATCTATCTATCTATCTATCTATCTATCTATCTATCTATCTTGCAGAACCGGGTTCATTCTTTTTAATTAAGATAATATAGCAGCTGAAACAAAAAATCTATTTTGATGCAAACTTGCTCCTAATATTCCACTTACAAACAATCCAAGGAGTATGTAGTTTAGTGGCACTTTGCGACGGGCTTTGTCACAGCAGGCGAAGACTATGACCAGGATAAGGGTGGAGGGTCTGCAATATAATAGAGAATGGATTGATCATCAGCACTATCATATTTAGGATACAGGTTCTATTTGGTTTGAACGACACTTGATAAACAATCTCAGCTTTGCACAATGGCGTCACTGAGGGTTGTCACCTGGTACCCGCTCCGGGTGACACCCTGCCTTGGGACGCCCCTGATTCAAGTACCTTAACTATTAACAACATTGTATCTTATTTGTGTATCACTCGGCTGTAGATCCTCAAATCATCTCTGAATTGGTGCTGACACTGTCCTTCCTTCTGGAGGGGGGCTACTTTTCTTCCCCATGGTCCCTGTGTGAGTTGTAAAGTAGTCACAACTTCAAGCTCATTCCCGTGATAGACTACAACTTCAGTATAAATTAGCTAACTAAACGGGAGATTGTAGTCCATTCCAGGAGCAAGCTTGGAGTGGTGGCTGCTATGGGGCCTGGGGGTGCAAGGGGGCCCTATTAGGTTGTTGAAGCAAATTAAACATGGAACATGAGAATATAATATAGTACTGTATCATTAAGGGTTGGAGAGGTTGCAGTTGACAACAACTCTAATCCCCTGGAAAGTCTACAGTGTAGAGACGACTTCAGATGCACAAGTAGGATCTCTGGGATCTTGGCATCATTAACTTACAGCTCAGAGAGAGGTCATAAGGCGGGCCCCCATCACATTTTTGCTATGGGGCCCGGTGATCTGTAGTTACAGCCCTGGGCAGGCGGTGCAACTTAGCAAATGCGCGCATTGAAGCCAATTGGCCCACTCCGCAACGACGTGCCAATAGCTTGGCACGCGGTTGTGGCATGTTATTACAATGTGAAATCCCCCTGGCGATTGAAAGAAATACAAAATGCATTTAAGAGGGGTAAACCACCGTGGAGTGCTTTTCAGAGGTGCGGTAAAGTCTGCCACCTGTGTAAACTAACAAATGTAAATAAAAAAATAACTGACTGACCCAAACCCACTATAACTTCCCTTTAAAGACATCAGCTCTTTGACTTGGCACTGTGAAGGCTACTTATAGGGTGACTTACATGAAGGCATACAATATATATGGATAGTCCTGCACCCAGTTTCGGAGTGTTTGCCTACAAGATAGTAAAAGAGAAAGAAAAATTGTTCAGAATGACGTGTTACTTACATATATATAGTACACCCAACAAGTCCTTCCTATAACCTGATATTATATATATATTGTAAGCCCTCAGGGGCAGGGCCCTCCTTACCATCTTGTCTTCAATTGTATTGTAATTGTAATGTCTTCCTTATATTGTAAAGAGCTGTGCAAACTGTTGGCGCTATATAAATCCTGTATAATAATAATAATAATATCATTTAAAACCCATCTGCGGGCAAATGTGTACTATCCTTTACTGGTTTTCTGAAATAAACACTATAGATTTAGCATAGCCATCAACGTGATGCCGGATCTTCTGTTGGATGCTTATTGGAGAAGTAGAGGTGAGAGCACATGAGATTAGTCTGTGGACCCAAAAACTTCCTAAACCTAATTAAAGTTAATTTGAAGACAAAAAAAAAAAACCATCAATTCATGTAGAAGATATATTTTACACACAATCATTTTAATTTTGCCCAGAGCTTTGTTGAAAGGGCAGCATGTTGATATTTCACCAGATTGGTTTTAGCAGAAAAAACAATATCCAACAGAAAAAAGGAAAATCATCATAGAAATCCATAAACAGTCATAGACCATAGATAAGGAAATCTGCTTTTATTGCAGAGATGTATTGCATATTTTTTTTTTTCTGTACTTTGTTCCCATAAAGGTACAATTTAACTTACCAAAATGTAAACATGAACACAATTCCAAATGTGATAACCAACTGTATGGTCAGCGTAATGTAGACTTTCCGGATAAAAGCTGAAACACATAACAGCAGGAGTTATAGTATCCATAAATATAATCCATAATACGAATAAGGCTCAACATAGACGTGTATCAGTGTTTGGCAAACTTGTGGCCAATTCCTTGATTGTACAGATCATTAAATGAACACTAATGGCTTCTATTTCTTTAAACCCACCTTTTTACCACCTTTCTTTGACCTAAATTACCCCAGCCTCCTGCTCTACAGTTTCATACTTACTGTAGCTTGATGTGGTAGCTGTGGCCCCCAGTGTTTGTGTACATCCCGGCCCACGCTGGGTCAGTAGATCACTACAGACACTTGGAAGATGGTCCCATAGAAAGTGTGACCAGCTTACAGAAGATTATTGGGTCAGGATATATTTAGGCACAAGAGCTCACCACCAAAGGAACAATATAACTATAAATCTGGAGAGGAGGAGGAGAGGAAGATAGGTGAACTTTGTTTTAAACTTTGCCCTCCAAAGTACCAATAAGGAGGCTTGGAAGGGGGAAGATTTGGGATCAAACTTGACTTTTATAGGAAAAGTTGAATTTGGAATGTGAATTCAGCTGCCTACATCTTCTTAGTTGTTATAACAAGTGGTTTTCACTAAAGGAAACCTCTGTTTATGTGTTTTTTTTCATCATATGCTGAGTTTTCATTGCCCCGTTTTATGACAGATTCACATTAGGAGTCATAGTAAGATGCATGTAAGTAATGTAAGCAGCTATCTGATATATGTATGAGCTCAGGTTCGGACCAAACACGGTCAAACCTGAACTCCAAACATAGAAACTACATGGGCCTCCATCCCAATCAGCTGCGGTTCGGGGCATTCATCACCCCACAGCTGACCATATACAAAGAGGCAGGATGCTTGTGCTCATGTCATTGACCTTATATGGCCATATTGGGTAAATGTTGTTTACCAAATATAGCCAAGTAACCACATAAGGTCAGTGACATCACAGGGCCCCACCCCTTTGCTTACGTGCAGCTGTGGACGAGGAATTCCCTGGCTGCAGACGATTGGGTAGTAGTGGAAGGAGTTTCCTTCCGAGTTCGGAGAAGCTCAGGCTTGGGCCTGGTTCTGTAAAACCTAAACTGATCCCTCATTTTATGATGGAATTCCAACCTGTATGGTTTTCATTTAAGGTTCACAGATCTATTTTTTTGTTGCAGTATACGCAGTATAAAGGATTCCATATACAGGTAGTCCTCGAGTTACATACATCCGACTCCTACTTACAAACAGAGGCTATTACTGTACAGCAGGGGTAGTTGTAATGCTACCGTGCTCGTACTGACGAGGAATGCCCGCCTTTTTGGGTCTGGCTTGTAGTACTGTACGTACATTACAGGAAGTTGGCTCTTGTCAGATGTGCAGGCGGGTCACTGTATCCTCATTAGAAAGATTTAATCTCACTTCATGTCCTTGAGACAACAGGAAGTGAGATCAAATCTACCCCTTGAAAGGGAAAATCGCTCTTGTAAGAGTGATCATGGGAAAAATGTGTCTCCACTGAAGCTTTATCACCAATCCTTGTTTCCTCGACAACCCAAAATTTTCAAAATCCAATTGTCACAGGGACAGAAAATTAGGTGAAATCTTCTGAACAGGGGCACACACACCAAAACAAACTTTACAGGGGGTTAGCCCTTCCCTGTGCTATCCAAAACCAAACATTTTTTTTTTGGGCTGGAGTTACACTTAAAAAATGTACCTGTTCCAACTTACATACAAATTCAGCTTAAGAACAAACCTACAGTCCCTATCTTGTTCGTAACCCGGGGACTGCCTGTATTAGGATATATATCAGAGAACTAATTACTGGGTTTTCCCCCCCTATATTTCCCAGAGCTGCACTTTAATTTCTCTGTAGAAAAGCCCTCAGACAATGAAGTACCTGTATCTCATTGTATTTCATAATCAATACATTGAATTGTCCTTGTGAATCACTGGAAAGGCATCTGCGATGTAACAGGTGCCGCACGGAGATATGTACATGTATTGTATGTTCTCACCGGTAACATTGTGTCAGACTACACACAGTGTGGTTAAATATTAGCCACGCAGATATTATTTTCAAAGGCAGACCTTTAGCTATTGATTCTAGTTAAACACATTACATTATTTGAGGGCCATAAACCTCCCAGTCGCAGATATTTCAGATTTTGCACTTAAATGCTCAGTAAACATGAAATGACAAATATGTTGTTGTAAAAGACTTAAAGTGACATTAAACCCTCAGATTTCTTAACATAAAACAATACTGTAATGTGCGCCTTGTTGTAATCCATGATTGTTTCCCTTCTCTTCCTTTTAAATCCTTATCTCTTCTCATGCTGGGTGAGAACTTCCCTTTGCAGCTGAGTGCCTCTTCCTGTAGTGCTGGCTCAGGTTGTGAACCTACACACAGACACCATGTATCCATTCCAGAGACAAGGCAGTCTGCTGCAAAACAGAAGTTCTCCCCAAGCATGAGAAGAGATACAGATTTAAAAGGAAGAGCAGCAAAGAGAAGGGAAACAACCATGGATTACAGTAAGGCACACATTACAGTATTGTTTTATGTTAAAAAATATGAGGGTTTAATGTCACTTTAATGATCTGTTTATGGATCAACCTGTAAAAGTTTCAGGGGCTGCCTAAATTGAAGGTGCTGGAGAGAAAATCACAACACACATTTATGACTCCCAGTCTAGCAATCCCATAGAAAGATAGTACCGGGCCAGCTGTTACCTATTCTAAGGGGCTGATTTATATAGCACTGGTATGACCTCACTGCACGTATGTAATTCCTTTAGTTCCGAATCATAATTCAGATGAATTTCCCGAAATTCGGACATTCAAATACAACAGAATTTCCGAATCCCAATGCATCCAAATGTGTCCGAATCCGAATTTCGTTCAAAAACTAAACTGAATCAAACATTTGACTTTTCTGGCCGATCAGATGTGTTTTTTGGTTTAATGCATCCAAATGGGTTTGATTACAAATTTGTATTACGGCAACATGGGAGCCATATACAGTATATACATATAATAGTAAAGCTGAGGCTCCTAGACCCGAATAGCATTCGGGCCTAGGAGATTCAGCTTTAGTATCAATATCTGTATATGGTTTTCTGTGGTAGTCGTAATGAATATTCGTTCATAAACTTATCCGAAACTAACGGAAATTTGGATTTCATCCAAACCCGAACCCCGAACCAAAATGAATTTCGGACCCGAATCCCGAAATAACTAAATATCTGAACCGAACCAAATTTTTCTGCAGGTTACATGTCTACTACAGCCACACTGCTGCTTTAAAGTGGAAGTTTAATCTGCTTATAGCTTGCTTTCTCTTGTTTCTTTCTCCCACTCACCAAAATGCTAATTACATTTTTAAATAAAGCCTTTCTGTCTTCATTACATCCCTTATTTTAGACCCAATGATGTCATCACTGGGTCTCTGTGCTTGTTTCTATGCAATACAGGCAGATCATGGCTAGTGGGCGCTGTACATAGTTTTGTGAAAACATCACAACACCCTTCCTCGGTACTGCTCTCAGCCCTCAGCCCTGATGCAAGCAGTGGGCTGGCTATTGGGAGGAGGTACGCAAATATCAAAATGCCTTTATGTGTGTATGTATGTTACTCTGGAGGAGTGGGCTTTCCCAAGAAGACTGCACTTGCATGCAGGCCACCCTAAGTAACACCCACGTGTGATGCTGCACCCCCAACATTGAAAGAACTGAAATCCAATGAATGAAAGTGGCCGGCCAAGGTGGCTTGATATCCTCCAGCCAGGAAATGAGGCGGGCTCTATCTGACTTGCTCCAACTTCTAATGCACATTTTGAGAAGCTCACAGTGTGCAGGGAAATCAGAGTAAGACATTTCAGTACAGGAGTGGAGTCGGTACAACTGTGCCAGACTGAAAGGAAGAATGGAGTTTAGCCTTTAAGCAAATTTTGAAAACGTAGAAGTATGTCTTTCACATTTCTTTGCCGCTGGTCAAGTGAGTCTGCTGAAGAGCCTTGGCACTGACCATGTGACCTACATTGAGAAAATAACATTTATTCCAGGAGAAAGGCACTTTTATTAATCACATTATTTTCATATTCATTTTTCTAAAAAGAATCTTGAAGTTACAGAGAACCCTGACACACGTCCAAGCATGTACATCATCTGGATATATATAGAACTGACTTACCTCTTCTGATGGTGCGCTCAGAGAATGGGTTGCTATCCTGGAGACCAACAGTGTATTCTGGGGGTACTTCTACATCGGGCTTGTCCCCAAGAAAGGCCTGGTGAGGATGGTCAGAATGAGGAGGGTAGACGTTGTATGCCGGCCCACCCATCAGTGCCGGGTTCTGATCGTTGTATGGCGGCCCACCCATTGTATGGCCACCCATCAGTGCCGGGTTCTGATCGCTGTATGGCGGTGGGTATGGCATGTATCCAGCATTCTGGCTGTAGGGTGCCGGCGGGTAGGCAGGGTTTTGCACAGAGTAAACATAGGTCAGCTCTGGACTGCTGACATTATTTTGATCACTTTTCTGCATTTTTATTCCTGCACAAAATAAAAATAAAACAGAGAGGACATTATCTCCATGAAATCATCTACAACATTTTCTTGGACAAAATCTGTGATGCCCAATAATGTACCATCTATGGATCAAATGTTGTTAAATGGCCTCACTATGATAAAGACTTGTTGGATCCAAAGCATACAGCTAAACACACGCAAAAAATACACATACAGGAGCTGAATTATCTTTCTACTCTGCCACTCTCTATCTCTTACTATAAGCATGTTCCTTCTCAGCACATGCAGGACACTTGATTGGCTCCCAGCCCTGCCCCTCCTTCTCCTGGTCTGAGTGTTACCATGTAGGGGATTGAAAGAAGCCAATACCAAGTCAAATTCAGGTACTTACACTACTTGCATTTAAAGAAAAATACACACTGTTTAGAAGTTTAATGGAGAAATACAATCCAGCAACATTGTTATAACATTGTATTTGCTCTATTTCATTCATATCAAAGGGATGACTTCAGGTAACTATCACACGGGGCCTGTCAGTTCCGATCAGCAGGGGAACCATGCATGGATCCCCTGCTGATGGAAGCAGTACGGAACAGATCTCACAGTTGTCACATCCATGGCTTTCCAGTTACTTCCTCCATGGCTTTCCAGTTACTTCCTTGTGATGAAGGAAAAAAACTGAACTTACCGCACCTCTTGTTTGGTCTATAGATGGTCGGATGCAAGCTGACATGTGTTTATCTGATTACTCCCCTGATCCTTTATGAGTAGGTCCACCAAAACGGAACTCTGTTCTGTTGTTCTTCCTGGACCTAGACAGAGTCTGGGGTAATCGCATGTCCATTTAGATCTGGCTGCCCACTGAGTAGCATTGGACTTCCGTTAAGATCCGGCCGGAAAAACTGACAGGCGGACCCGTTTGGAATGCCCCTGTCAAAGGGGTCTTAAATCTGCACTGTGATGTGAACAGGATACAGAGAAATCAATTGTTTTCTATGTGCCCTGGCATCCATGCCAGTTGTGGTGACTGGCATTGGATCAACGCCAGTCACCACAAGGGCACTCAGAAAACAATTGTCCTCTATGTGTACTGTTCACACCACAGTGCTGGTGTGATGTGTGGTGCAGACATGGTGCATTTTTATGCAGCACACTGGATGAAATCGGCGGTCACCACACCACATTGCAGCATGTTACACTGTTGTGCGGAGACATGAATAAAGTGTACACTTTGTACACTTGAAATAAAATAAAAAAAAGTCAACAATGTCTTGCATTGCAGCAATGCAAGACACAGCTACCCAGCGGACACCAGCCGCTCGCTAAAACGGCCCATTTTAGCATTCTGTTTTAACGTATGGCTGGTGTGAACCCAGCCTAACAAAAAAAAAGTTTAACAACAAACCCTGAGCTGCATGTACTGTGAAGGTATTCATCCTCAAAGATCACAATAGACTCCTCAGTTGGTTTTGTATAGCTTACACGCTGGATTGGAAGCTAGCTTTAATCCTCCTGCATTTTTTGGGGGGTGGGGATTTAGTTACATAAATGTACAATATAGAGAAAGAACTGGAAATATGCAGATCTTCCTGTATTTATAATAAAACAAATCTGTTTCTGTGATGCAGCAGTGAAGGGAACGGCCCACGTTCGTACTTCAGGCCGGACACCCCTGATTTCCTCGCACAAATACCTCCATCACTGAGGGCCGCTCGGACACGGATCTCTCATCACCGACCGAGCACTACCGTCCACTCTCTGAAGGGAATATATCAAAACTGCAGCAGACAAAATCTTGAGCAGCTGTTCATGACAACCAATCAGCTTCTCTCTTTCACTTCCAAATCTAATATGAAAAAACTGAAGAGAGAAGCTGATTGGTTGCCATGCACAGCTGCTCCAGATTTTGATAAATTCCCTTCACTGTGTACCCCCAAAGCTCTCCTCTCCTTCACAGATCTCCACCCGGGCTCTGGGGATTCCTGCGACACGATCCTAGGGATTCTGGTTCAGGTTCTGACGAAAGGGGTTCGGCCCCAGAAACGCATTAACCAGGAGGAGAAGTAATTTTGTTAGCTGCTGTTTATAACATACAAATTCTTTGTCCTCAACGTCCATGTGACCTTTTTGTAGATGTGTATGTATGTACGTGACCTTTTTGTAGATGTGCATATCAACAAAATATGACCAAAAACAACTAAAAGCAGCTGAGAAATGGTTAAAGGAGAACTATGGGGTCAGGGCTTTTCCCCATAGTTCTCCTTAGGGTAACGGGAGGACACAAACTAGCGTCCTCCCGTCACCCTAAGCTCAGTATACCGCGAGCTGCAGCTCGCGGTATACTGAGATGCCGCAGCTGAAGCGGATCCCGACAATTATGTCTGGATCCGCCCAGTTGCGTGAGTGACAGCTGGCTCTGCCTTTCTACAGGCAGAGCCAGCTGTACCCGCCCCCTCCCCCATCCGATCCGCCAGTCAGCGTTATCGGAGCGGGGAGGGGGGAATCCAGCCCCTCCACTGTCACGGCAGAGAGCCGTGACAGGATCAAGAAGTGAGCGAACGCCGGTATGTGTTCGCTCACCTCCCGATCTACTGAGCCGACCTGTGACAGTCTCATTGTTACAGGTCGGCTAGAACTATGAGGTGAGTGAAAAGCACTCACCTCATAGTTCTCCTTTAATGAATAGCATTGGAGAAAAACAGGGAAAGGAAACGATGGAATATGCTGTCATAAACAAGACAAAAAGTTTTTAGAAAATCAAAGATTCATTAAAACAGTAAGTATAGAAATATATTTGGTTATTAATAATAATAATAATATTATTGTATATACAGTATAAATATATCTATATCTGCATT